ATACCATAGTCTGTCACAGAGGTTAATGAGTAAACTGAGGCTATTCGAAGCTACTACTTTATACTGTAAAGGCAGGTTATAAATGTAATAAATAAAAATAGTGTATCTTGGGCATGTGAGAAGACTCACTGGAAAAATACAAGAATGCCAGGCAAAAACAGAAAGCAGTAGGAAATGAGGAAGAGACGTCATGAGAAAGATCAACTCAAGAAAGGAATCCACGGCCTTTATTTTCAGCGCCAGAGTGTTTATGGTGGGCTACTTCGCAGATTATTCCTTCACAGGATCGCCATAAATCGGAATTAAATTGAACCAAGGAATCACTTCCCTGCCTTTGGTGCCTAGAACGGAAGCAGGGCTGCGGCCCTCAGAAAATAACGGCGGGCGAATTGCAAGGCGACAGGCTCGCGGTGTAAGCCGGATCAATCCAAACTGCGACGGGGAGGGGGAGCAACAGCAGCTTTCTCTATTTTCTCCTACGTTTGAAGAAATCTTCCTTCTGTATAAGAAACCAAGATATTTAAAAGAAACGGAGAGCTTCATGGTTTCCCGGATGGGCAAGTCTTATTATATTCAGAGAGCCTGAGAGGCGTTAAAATAAACGGGACCTCCCCTCTGCTTTCCGGACATTGGTACAGGCGACAGAACGCTGGCGCTTCATTCTGCCCGATGCAAAAAGGAAATGTGTTTATTGAAGCTTGGTTCCGTTGTATTGAGATATATATCACTGAGATGGGAAGGGGGATGGTGGACACCTTTAAAGCTAATTTATCTTTTTATAGTACGAGCGTGCCTGGGTTAAAGCACATTTCTTTAAAGGCGTCTGCAAAAATTAATCTCTTTACCAACATGCCACTTTTTCTTGGTTTTAGTCAAACAGAGTCATGCCTGCTGCTTTGGTTATAGCTCTAAAACACATAATGTAGCATTCTCTGCCCTCCACGGGGTTGCAACCATCTGCCTAACATTCAGAGAACCAAGGAGGCGCTTTGTTATCTCCACAGAAGGGGCTGACCCCAGACACTCCCATCCCACACTCCTGGAAACGGATATTCCATCTTTTCCTTCAGGACTCATCCTTTCACAAGCTGCATGATGGGGGGTGGGATGGTGGAAACAGCTGGTGGTTTGACAGTATTGTAAGACTTGTCAGATAAAGCTGTACCTTTAGAATTGCTGCCTGCCATGCTGCTTGCAGGAACTGGAACCTTGAGGTGGCAGAACAGGATCGCGGCAACAGCGGCACCATGTCCATTTTGCTGGATTTAACACACAGTAAACAATCTGAAGTTTCAGTGCACTTTTGGGGTGCTAAATGCACTTCATCTGAATTTCTCTTACAAATATTGGAATGAAATACTGGACACCAGCCATGCATCCTCCTTCTCCTCTCTCTGCTCTTGACTGTGTGTGGGGTTAACAGCTGCCAGCCAGCCAGTGGGCCTTAGCTTAAAGCAAAGTGGAACGGATGCTATTGTGAAATAATTGTGGGTTAGAAGGCCTTGTCCGTCAGATCACCCAGAAATCTGTCAGTGTGTTCTTCCCACATAAAAGCCTACTTTTCGTTCCACCCTAGTCCTCCCCAGAGAGCATCTCAGAAAAAAAATATGTACCCGTGCTTTGCCGAAGGTAGATTCCCAGGCAGCTGATTCAGCAGCCTTCCTCAGAGTGCTGGCAGCTAATGCCCATTACTGTGGTCGAGAGGGCAGGGAAGGCAAAGCAGCTAATGCGGCAAAACTGGGCAATCTCCTTCCCTCCCTCCCTCCTATGTTCCTTCTTGCTGCCTCCCTCTTGTGCCTAGTTTCAAAGCTGGGCAGTTGGCTTATTCATTCAAGTTCATTTTCTTTCTCCCTGCCCTCACGCCACCTCCAAAAGAGGGCGAGGTGACTGGGAACAAAAAGGGACCACAGGCAGCCTGCGGTCCCTCCACTTTGGTTAAAAAGGCAAGCAGGGTGATTTGGCTAGGAGCCAGATGTGGGGGCAGTGCCCTCATTTGCCCAGCCTCAACTGCCTCCAAAATGCCACCACCGTCTCTCTCCCCCCCCTGCCTAGCGATGCCCTGAGTCAGGATTTGAGGCCATCAAGTTAGGCCAGAGAGCTGTGGTGACTCACACTCAGGAGGACCCCGGGAAAGAAGCCCCTTTGTTTGCTGCTTTTCTCTCTGCCACATCCTTCTTTTCTCTTTTCTTCTTTTCACATCTGCATTTCTCTCTGCCATTTCCTTTTCTCTTTTCTTCTTTTCACATTTGCTTTTCTTCTCTGCCACATCCTTCTTTTCTTTTCTTCTTTTCACATCTGCATTTCTCTCTGCCACATCCTTTAGTTTTCTTTTTACATCTGCTTTTCTCTGCCACTTCCTTCTTTTCGCTTTTCTTTTCACATCTGCTTTTCTCTCTGCCACATCTTTTTTTTCTTTTCACATCTGCGCTTCTCTCTGCCACATCCTTCACGTTCTACCCATCAGGGCTGCTGTGAGGGCTGCCTGCTCATTCCAGCTGCAACTCAACCGCTGAGCTGTAGTCCCCCCCCCAAAAAAAAGCCACAGACAAAAGGCTCTGGCTAGACTTACACATCATCCACCCTCCCAAGCTACCTGCCAGGTAGGCGCAAGCACAGCACCTTTTGAGGGTTGACATAGAGGCCATGGTTGTTCTTCACAGCTGCTGGGAATCCAGGAAAACAATTGACAATAGGCAGACTTTGGTTAGTGGAGGAAAGGAAAACCAGAATTATAATCATCTGGAAATGATTTCTTTCTTTTTTTTACAAGGATTACGGAGGCCTGCTTAGAGCCCCCCCCTTCCCAGCTATCCTCTCTGTATGGGCTCAGTGTGACAGGAAAGAGTGCTTTGTACATCCAAATGCAAATCTTGGAATGTAAAATAATCTTCAATCTCCAGAGCTGGAAGGAACCCTTTGATCATCAAGTCCAGCTCCTGTCAAGAAAATACAGCGGGGAATCAAACTCCCAACCTCTGGCTCTGTAGCCAGATGCCTAACTACTGTTGTAGTTAGCAGTTGTTGCAGGGGGGCTGGAGGGAAAAGGGGTTAAAGCCATGTAAAAACAAGACATCTCACCAGCAACATGCTACAATATTCATGGTATAATTTGTTCCTGAAAAGGCTACAAAACATTGTTCTACATATTGTGGAGGGAGAAGGGATGGCAAACTCATAAAGTTGTTGTCGTTACATGCTGTCAAGTCACCTTTGACTTATGACAACCCTATGAATGAGTGACCCTCAAAATGTTCTGTCATCAACAATTTTGCTCTGCCCTTGTAAACTCAAAAGCTGTGGCTTCCTTTTAGGGAGTTAATCCAGCTTGTATTTGGGCTTCCTGTTTTGTTGCTGCCTTTAACCTTTCATACCTTGCCACGCACTGGTGTGCTTTCCATGCCCCCCTCCTGCAAGTAGATAAATAGGTACCACCACGGTGGGAAAGTAAACAGCGTTCCGTGTCTAAGTCACACTGGCCACGTGACCATGGAAACTGTCTTCGGACAAACACTGGCTCTACAGCTTGGAAACGGGGATGAGCACCGCCCCCTAGAGTCAAACACGACTGACTAAATGTCAAGGGGAACCTTTACCTTTACCTCCTTCTCCACCATGTGTGCATGTGCGTGCATGCACACATTTGTGTTTCTGTCTGCATACATGTGTTCAGCTGCAGGGAAACATCTTTTTTTAATGTCATTCTAGTGCCATGCCCATTTGTTTGCTGCTTTTCTCTCTCATGTGATGCACACATTTGTGTTTCTGTCTGCATACACGTGTTCAGCTGCAGGGAAACATCTTCTTTTTTAAATGTTGTTCTCATGCCATGCCCATTTGTTTGCTGCTTCTCTCTCTCATGTGCTGCCACATCCTTCACATTCTACTGATAGGTACCACCATGGTGGGAAGGTAACGGCGTTCTGGGTCTACTCACGCTGGCCACGTGACCATGGAAACTGTCTTCGGACAAACACTGGCTCTACGGCTTGGAAACGGGGATGAGCCCCGCGCCCTAGAGTCGGACACGACTGGACTATATATCAAGGAGAACCTTTACCTTTACCTTACCTAGTGCCATGGCAGATTGCAAGAAATTACTGTAAAAAGTCTATTAAAAATAACACCACAGCAGTGGTACCTGGTGGCTGTGAGAGGCAGCCAGTGCGAGAGCAGGCAGGCACAGGACATAGCCTCAGACGCAGAGACTGTAAAAGCTCCTTCATGCCTCCTTCGACGGATATACAACACAATTTAAAAATGGATTAAGTTTCCCCAAGATGACACACATACCCACCCAAAAAACATGTGACTTTAAACGGAATTTTTTTAAAAACCCAATCCATCACCCAATTTATTTCAGGAGTGTAACCGTACCCTAACTCTCATGCCGAATAAAACTTATCAGGCTTTAAGGCACTAAGATTCTCTGTTATTTTTGTTGCAACAGAGAGCTATTCCCATCCTCTCAAAGTTTTCATAAAAAATTGATAAAAGTTTTTCACATATGTATACTGTATATTAAGTTTCCTTTGGCTCAGAATTTAGATGCTGGAAAAAACAAGTCCAGCCAGATAGGGAACACACACACAAACCAGTGTCCAGCTTTTCTTCCACTCACTCGCTCACATATACCCTGGAGAGCCACCAGCAGGAATTTTAGATTTTATTATATGCCAAAGAACTTGATAGCATCTAAGGAGGACAAAGCAAGTTGCCCTTGATAAGAATTAGACAAGGCACCATGCCGAGGCCCCAATACACAGCAAGCAGGGCAAGAACTGGGATAAACACAGCACGTTACTTCACAAGACACAGGTGTGTAATCTAGACATAATAGGCCACGACCACCAGCAGATCAAACGTGCTTATTCGAAGTAGTGAGCAACAACCACTAATCATGGAGTTTGGGGCAACAGGGGAGAAGCAAGAGCATCACAGCAAAACCTGGCCCTGTGCAGCTCAGATTAGGAAGGAGAGGCATTGCTCACAACACAGAACCACAGCCCCGGTTCCAGGGAGTTTTAAGTCATTCACTTCTAGTAAGCAGGCTTTTTGTTTTTTAGGCAAAGAGGGGACTCTAAGCACAAATGAGTGTCACTGTTTGGAGAACCACTTCTTAGAGGGCCAACTTTTATGCCCAGATCTGTCTACGTGTAGAGGAATCATGTGGCATAGAGTTCCCACTTCAGACTACAGCAGAAAAGTCCTGTGTTGGAACACTTTCCCATGGGAAGGCTTCATGCTTGCAGAAAATTAGCACATCCCAGGAAAAGAACAAGGTAGTTTCTACAAAAGCAACACAGAACTTTTCTTTCTTTTCCCCTGGGTCTGCTCTGATACGGGCCAGAAAAAAACAATGCTGTGTGACCTTCTTGACTGTGTATTCTAATTCTTAGAAGTCTATGGACATATATGCTTTCCAGCTCACTGATCTATGGAGCTGATAGTCATGTATGATTGTTTCAGAAGCTGAAACAAAGAATAAGGCACATCCAGATAGAGTGATTTTAGGACGGGATGAATATGCATCCAATGGAAGTTGGCCTCTGCAGTGCACACCTAAGAGAACATCTGTCCTCACAGTGGAGGATCCAGCTTTCTGGAATGCACCTTGGGCAGGAGTCTTCTTTGAGGTTTCATGCAGGATGGCTGCTGTAAACATATAGGCTCCCTAAAACAAGATCAGAGTGAGGTTGTGGACGGGAGCCGGATAGACTATTTGGCTAAGATCATGTGCATATGTGTGTGTGTGTACATATATATGCATCAAGCAACAACAAACGGGAAATAAATTTTTCCCAGATGGGGAACTTCAGCCGGTGGAGCACACCTAGCAACTGTGGCACAAGACAGTGAAGAGACAGAGAGCAATGTGCATGAAAAAATGCAGGTCATTTTCGTTATATGGCGCTAAGAAGGGCTATGTCTATATGCCCATCCTAGATTTCAGAAGTAATGGCTAATATTGTGAGAATAAAGCGCCTTTGCAAGGTTGGTATCAAGAGCTTAGGGCAACTAATAAACTTATTCTAGGCAAGCTCAAGCTCGGTACAACTCTTTCTGGCAAAATGCCTTGCAGCGGTGAAAGAACGGGCCTGAGAGCTCATCACTTTTATCCACCAAGCCACATCCCGGCTGCCTTCCCAGCAGGCTCAGAAGCAAATGCAATCTTAATTCCTGGAGGAAAGGCCACTTCTAGGGGAGAGCCCATGGTGGCCGGGGGAGCGACAAAGCAAGGGCTGGGGATCAACAGCACAAAGTGGTCGCAAATCATGGCCGACTGGACAGGGAGGAGCGCCGCGCCACCATGCTGTATAAGCAACGGCAGGTGTCCTATTCTAAGGTTCACATTGGGCTGTCACTGAGACACAACAGCTGCGCAACAGGGTGACCGGCAGGCCTCAGCCACTTTGAGAAATGTTGGCCGACATGCAACCGTTCAGTCCATCACGGTTTGGCCGGACCCTGGATGGGGATGAGTGCTATATATAGACACATATAGATAAGGATCATGGGTGTGCATGCTCAGGAAGGATCTCCTTCCTTGCCCACACATAAAAATTAAAAAAAAAAATTCAGCTTTTAGTTCATCCGTCCAGGCTTCTTCTGGTTCATCTGCTGGAAAGACAAAAGCATAAAAAACAAGTCAAAGAGCAGCCATATCACCTTGTAGAAAGACGGGAGGAGGGAGGTCAGAAAAAGCATTCGTATTTCCTAGAGCTCTACCTCCTCCTTGGATCATCAAGGTGCTAGACTTCCATGGCTGGGTAGCCCAGTGGTTGGGGAGTCAGAGGTTGGGAGTTCGATTCCCCCACTGTGCCCCCTGTGAGTAGAGCCAGCCTGTGTGGCCTTGGGCCAGCTGCACAATCCCAGGGCACCCCCATCTCCCAGAAGACCCCCTTCTGAGAATTCTCTACCTGGAAAACCCTGGAAAGGATTGCCGTAAGTCACAATTGACTTGAGGCACATGATTATTATTCAGCTTCCATGAGGATATCTGTGCAGCTCAGTTAACAGCAGTTTGATTGACACCACTTTAAGTGTTATTTTGTAGAATCCTGGGGTCTTTAGTTTGGTGAGCTATTCAGAATCCTGTGCTCCAATGACCTCATGCAGTGGTTCCCATCCTTGGGTCCCCAAGTGTTCTTGGACTAAAACTCCCAGAAGCCTTCACCACTAGCTGTGCTGGCCAGGACGTATGGGAGTCGTAGTCCAAGAACATCTGGAGACGCAAAGTTGGGAACCACTGACTTAGTGCATTCCCCTCAGCTACAGCAGAGGATTCTAGGTATCCTGTTGTGAAGAACTAGTGAGCCGTCCTCAACAGAAAGTGTGCAGGAGGAAACATTTGGCTGTGTAGAGGACGTCCTCATAGAAATAGGGGAGGAAGGAAGGAAGGAAGGAAAGAAACACAGTAGAAGTGTGCCTTTCAGGAGACAAGGAGGAGGAAGAAGCAGAGGAGCAAGATCTAATAGTGTGGGAGGAGGTTATAAAAGAGTGGGGTGACATGTGAGAATTTAGAATGGAAACGGACCAGACTAAGAGAGGTATGAAAGAGTGTGCGGTGTAAACAGAGAGAGAGGAGGATGCATCAACTAAGGTCTGTGATTTACTAAAGGACTTCCCGAACTTAAAGACAGGAGGAGGCTTGCTACCAGACCCAGACTTACCCAAGGTGGAGAAAAAGGGGGTAAAGCCTCTAGAATGAACAGTAGTAGTTTATCCCCGCAACCAAGGTGGAGGGAGGAAGTTTGATTTGTCCCAGTCCCTCTTAAAACGTCCCACCTTTAGAAGGGGACTGGGCGAGACACCCTTGCTATGGGACAGTGTGCACAAGTAAGGAGCACACCGTTGAGGGAGATGACAGATCGCGAGCGCTTTGGTCCAGCCCCAATGTGAGGAGTGACCTGTTAACGCCGGGAATCAAAATCCTAAGTTACAAGACATTACCACAGCTAAACTGTTTCGACGCATTTAATTTAGCTGATCCTGATGTTGAAGTTAATAAAACAGAACCTGTTGAATTTTTAAAATCATCTCCGTCTCTTATTCCTGCCAAAATGAGGGACCCGTCACCAACTCAAGAAGAAGCCGATCACACCTGTGGAACTACAAATCTCAGGGTTATGTAGGTTGAATCCAGACAAACACACACACACAAAAAATCCTTTCTGTTCCACCCAAACGATCATTCTTTATACCACAAAGCTTGGCTTCTTGTTTCCCCTTGCTTTATTGCCTCAGAGTGTGAAAGAGGAAATATCCCCCCCCAATTTTTCAGCGATACTGGGTGTGGGGAGCGACAAGACTGGGGTGCAAGCTTAGATTTCACACAGCCTGATTGATCTAGGTCTGCTCCCCAAGATACTCTGGCTTCCACCAGCGCTGATCGCTCAGCTGCCCGCTCTAGCCCCATCCGCAGGTGACACGGCAGGGGCAGATCATCCTGTTCTACACTTTGAAAGAGCCAAAGGGCTTTGGCTGATTGCTAATTAGACTAGCTCTTATTAGCAGCTTGCTTCCACATGGTGTGTAGTGTGGTTTTTCTCTCCAGTTCCTGTGAGGAGGAACCATTTTCCACCAGAAAAGAGGAGTGTGGGCCGTCTCCTCCAGCACCCACAACTGAGGGATACGAGACAGCATATATACGCTGAGACCCACAGTGGCCCAACTGAGAGCAGAGGAGAAAAAATAGCGGGAAAGAGGAGCGAGAGGAGGAAGGCGAGAAAGGGGAGGAGCGAAGAGCGGAGGGTTATCTGGAGACAGGGGTTGGGTGGAATGGACGGTGTCTGTCTATCCCAAGAAGGAAGATTGGTGGAAGACGGAGGGGGCCAGGCCAGTGGGGATGCTTCAGCCAGAGATGTCCATGGAGGGAGAGTTGGTATCACCCCTTGGCAGCATCCTAGGCTGCAGTCTGAGGAGGCCCACAAGGAAACCCACTGATCGTGAACAGTTTGGGGTGAACCCCAATAGTGAACTCTTTCGTGCCACCTGAGGGACAGTTATGTTACATGGAAAGAAACTGAGGGACCCATTGCTCCAACTGAAGTTGTTGTTCATAGTACTCCATTGTTTGAAAATAAGTGTTTGCAAAAAAGGACTATCTTCACTTTTGGGGAAACAAAGGGGGGAATGGGTTTTCCCCAAATTTGAACCCAGTCACTTGCCTTCCCATGACAGCAAGCGGCTGATGACTAGTCATTTTTAACACTTCCTGCAGCATATAAAACGATTCCTGGTACCTGAGAGATGCTGACGCCGGTGAGTTTCTCCACAGTTTCGGGCAGCTTATTCATGATTTCCAGCACCTCCCCTGTTATTTTGCCAGCTCCCACATCTCCAGCCCCACTCGACACCATTGTGATCTTATTCACGGACGTCAAAGGTTTGGTGATTTCTTCAGCCATCTGCCCAGGAAAGGGGATTTGAATCAGAGCTGGAAAGGTTGGCATTTTTTGGAGTACAGAATTCCCCAGAATTCTGGAAGCTCTGCTAGAAAAATCTTAAATCTTTACAGCTGTTATTGGAATATACATACGCAGTGCAGAGAAACTGGGAGTTTGCACTGAGTCAAACAAATTTGACCAGAATTGCAAGCATTAAACTAACAGCAAAACCAAACTTAGCCTGCTGCAACATTTAGATGATTAGCTGATTTCAAAACTGTTGATTAATTTTAAATACACACAATTCAACCAGCTCATTATTTTGGTCTACAGTTTAAAAAATTTTAAATTTAAAAAATGTAAAAAGTTTTTTAAAAAGATTTGTGAAAACTGAAGACACCAAGTATCATTTTAGGGCGAAACTGGCCATTACCAAGAGCACGTGGTTAGAAGAGGGAATTTTTCTAATGACTAAGGCCATTTGATTGTCTCACAGGAACTCTCCACACATCCCACAATCTGCAGGCTAGCTTGTTTTGTCTTGTCATTGGCTTTCTGAGTACAGACACAGCCTTTATTTCCAAGTCTGATTTCTTAGGTACAAATATCTGTTGGTATCACCTCTCTGGAACAGGAATGTGAATTCAGACAGAAAGGAATTATTTATAATGCATAATTTGGCTCTAAAACAAGGCACTCCCTCCCATAGGAGAACAGGAAGTGCAAGCTTGCACTTACTGCTTCAATGACTTCCTGTTCGCTCACAGTCATCTAAACAGAACTGAATCTTTTTTCCTTTATACCTATTGTTCTTTATCATACAGAACCTCTTGCAGCTCAATGCACAGAGTCTGCAAATAACAGTTTCTTTAGTCAATGTATAATGCTACCAAAAAATAGCAACAGCCAACTAACAACTCTTTCAGGTTGATAATGAACCATTTGCAAACATTATATAGGGGGAAGCAGTAAAGTACTGTTTGCAAAGGCTTTAATTGCCAAGAAGTGGTGTTCCTGTGCCTATTGCATGGAGACTTGTTCTTAATTAACCACTGCCTCATAACTACTGCTTTCTCCAAAGTGTGCTCCTTATATACCACCTCAGAATATTTAAAACATTCTCTGAGCAGTTTACAATTTAATTATACATATTACACATTGCCCCCAGCCCCAGTAAACTGGGTTCTCAAGAATGGAAGGCTGAGTCAACCTTCAGCTGGCTAGCTGAGTCTATTGAGATCAAACTCAGGTCATAAGCAAAGTCCTGACTGTAGAACTGCAGTTCAACTACTGTGACACGGGGCTCTTCTCCAGACATCATCTTCCTATTCTTTCGTGAATTTTTTTTTCAAAAAACCCTAATTTCAAAAGAAAATCAGAGCTACTGGGTCGTGATTAAAGCACAAGAAATTTGGGGAAATAGATGCCTATGATTTTGTACCTCATCATGCAGTTTGTGAAATCCTAGCACAGTGTCCAGACTAAATGTGAAAAATGCTATTTCTTCAAGTGCAAGGTCTGTCACTGCTCCCGTCAGCAGCTGCCTATGTCACAGCCTTCCCCAACATACCTTCTCTAGACATGTCAGGATACCATTCCCCAAATGGCCACGCTGTCTGGGGATAATGGGAGGTGCACCCCAAAAACCAACAGAGGGCACTAGATTCTGAAAGGCTGGGCTACAATATTCAGACAAGCTAGCAAACAGCAGTCCAGTTTCTAAAACCTGCACTTCAGATCTTGGATTGGTTTTTGCCCTGTTACTACTAAAGATGGCCTCTCTTACGGGCAGCCTAGTAGCTTAGCATGTTGTCTCCACATATTCAGGACGGGGCCAAAATGCTCACCTCCGGAAGCTTCTCCAGAAGCATGTCCACCATGGCTACCTCTTGGTACTGCTTGAAGGCCTCTGCTTTCTTGGTCATCTGCTCAGCATCAGCCCGAGCCTTGGCCTCAATAGCAAAGGCCTCAGCCTCACCTTTCACCTAAAGGTAAAGCAACAAAGGCTGAAAGAGGTGCACTGAATGTACTTTGATCCCCCCTTCTCCTATTTGTCAGCTACAATTATATTCAGCATTTCCTCTAAAAGCCTCAAGGCAGCTCCCACCACTTCCCTTCACTGCAACTGCTGTCGGGTTGTTGTATCTTCACAACGACCCAGCAGGACAGGGTCAGCACAAGAAAGGGTGGCTGGCTAAAGGTCGCTCAGTGAGTTTCATGGCTGACTAAGGAATGGAACCTGGATCTCCCACTTCCCAGTCCAGCAATCTGCCCATTACACCACACTGCCTCTTGTATTCCTTCCACAAGACAACCGTGAGGATACACTCACCCTGACCGACTCTGCTTCTGCCTCTGCCTGCATGATGAGCTGTTGCCTGTTGTGGGGGAAATGAGGGAAAAAGGGGTCACTTTTGCACCTTGTTTCATAAAGGCGAGTTTGCCAACTTTTCCCAGAACACCCCCCCCCCACACACACACACACACATAGCTATCAGAGCACCTATCAACTCATGGCAGCTTCCAATTATTTGTCTCACCTTTACCTGGTTGGGATATTTGGAGCGTGTAAATAAGAATTTAAAAGGGGTGGCATGGGGCAAAATATGGGGAACTGAGACATCAGAGAGCAAGAGAGCAAAAGAGAGGGAGGGAAGGAGGCTGAGGAAATTTTAGTCACTCAGGCAATCATGGAGTTCCAATTCCAGTCGGAATTTCCTCAGGAAGGATCTGTGGGGAAGAAGGAGCTGGCTGCTTTCTCCTACCAAGTACCCCTGAGATACGTTTGACTACAACTCGCAAGTTGGGAGCGTGTAAATAAGAATTTAAAAGGGGTGGCATGGGGCAAAATATGGGGAACTGAGACATCAGAGAGCAAGAGAGCAAAAGAGAGGGAGGGAAGGAGGCTGAGGAAATTTTAGTCACTCAGGCAATCATGGAGTTCCAATTCCAGTCGGAATTTCCTCACGAAGGATCTGTGGGGAGGAGGGAGTGATAAAAGGTGATATTAATGGCTGCTTTCTCCTACCAAGTACCCTTGAGATACGTTTGACTACAACTCCCAAGTTGGGAGATGGTTGGACAGTGTCATCGAAGCAACCAACATGAATTTGACCCAACTCTGGGAGGCAGTGGAAGACAGGAGGGCCTGGCGTGCTCTGGTCCATGGGGTCACAAAGAGTCGGACACAACTTAACATCTAAACAACAACAACTCCCAAGGGGGATTGTGGGATTGCAGCCCAACGTCACTGGTTTCCCATCACTGGTTTCTCATAAGCATCAGATCAACATGTCTCAAAATCTAAACTATGCAAAATTAAGAGACCAAGAAGTTAAAGAGTTCCTGGAGTGTACCAAAAAATCCCAAACCAAGCTCAACCCAACCAAATGACAAAAGCAATCCCTGAACATAGAAAAGTAATTTTCTAGTTATTAAAGCAAAATAACGCTACCTTAGTTGCCTCCATGACACACTACATTTCTATGTGTAGGCATCTATGTTGTGTTGCATGCAAGGGTGGGGGAGATAAATAATTAATACATTCAAATATGGATTCCCTCCTCAGATCATATAAAACACTAGAGTCCAAAAATTGCTTTCTTATACAGTTTACTGCTCATTCCTCACAACTTCAGCCAGATGAATAGAAACCCCACTGATCTGTTGCTGGGCTGTATCCTTTCATACTGCAGATGAGAGACTGACTGTCGGAAAGCTCTTGTGTGTAAAAAATATTACTGCTCGTTCCTCACAACTTCAACCAGATGAATAGAAACCCCACTGATCTGTTGCTGGGCTGTATCCTTTCATACTGCAGATGAGAGACTGACTGTCTGAAAGCTCCTGTGTGTAAAACATGTCTCTCACACACACAAACACACACACAGAGACAGGGCCAGCATTTTCCCTAACATACTAGTATGCACATATGCGTGGAGGAAATATGATTCCTGTTTTGCAAAAACATTCAGCGACTGAATCCCCTGTGTAAAAAAAGATATAGCCCCAGCACTAAAGACATCTCTGGATTATCAGCTGTAGATCAAGGGGGTTGAAAAACCAAACAACAATAGCTTTTGTATGGGAAACATTAAAGATGAGTTGGCAAAGGCCACCTGCCCCTACCTTTCAGCCTCAGCCAGTTTCTCCAGCCGGAAGCGCTCTGCTTCCGCTGGCTTCTTGACCTTGGCTTCCAGTTCACGCGCCTTTCGGATCATCTCCTGCTCCTGTATTTGAATCTGCTGAGTTCGCTCCACCACCAGGACCTGCATCTTCTGCTCCTCAATCTTCTGCTTTGTCTTGGCTACCTTTGCGGTTACATACAGTCACTTTTAATAAGGAAGATTCTCAGAAGCAGGGGTTCTGCACAAGATCAAGGGAAGGAAGAGGGAAGGAAGGACAGCTGGCCCATCCTCAGCCCTCCCAAGAGGTCAGCTGCCCTGGGCTTTGCCTCTCCTCAATGGACATCCAGCAGCCATTCCACCAGGCTGAGGAAAAGACATTAACCGGCACCCGAATTGTCTTGTTTTCCTTTCCCCTCTCCCCTCCCCTTTTTCTTTTCAGCAATACCTAGGTTCCAATCAGGAAGAACAAGAAAAATCTTATCTTTAAAAGAACAACAGCAAAACATATCAAAAACAAACAAACAAAAAAGGAAAGAAGAAAAAACATTGTGGCACCTTGAAGATCAACCACTATATTTTAATGTGAGCTTTCGTAGGCGAAGTCCACTTCATCAGACTTGTCTATGAGAGTTCACATTAAAATATAGCACTTAGTCTTTAAGGTGCCACAACTTTTTTTTTGCCTGATGAACACGGTTACCTCTTCTAAAACAAAATACAGTGGTGCCCTGCATAGCGACGATAATCCGTGTAGCAAAAATCGCTGCAAAGCGATTTCGTCACTATGCAGAAATAAAAAGCCCATAGGAATGCATTAAAACCCATTTAATGCGTTCCCATGGGCAAAAAACTCACCTTTAAGCGAAAATCCTCCATACGGCGGCCATTTTCGCTGCCCGGTAAGCGATGAATAAGCAAAGCGGTATTTTCCTATCTAAACCATCGGAATGCAATCACAAAAACAATCACAAAATATTTGTCGCTATGCGGATTCATCATTAAACGAGGTGCCCGTTAAGCGAGGCACCACTGTATCTCAGTCGCTCTGAGAGTCTTTGTAGCTGTGGCACCCGTTAAGCGAGGCACCACTGTATCGCAGTCACTCTGAGAGTCTTTGCAGCTGCAAATCAAGATACGATCACTATGAATAAATAAAGCTGGTGTAAATACACTTATATGTCTCCTCCCTGCTCCTCTCTCATTATCTGTCATTAGAATTGCCTCACCTGGAGCTGATATGCCAAGTCGGACTCTGCCTTCCTTGTGTTCACCTCAATGTCGTAAGCAGCCTTCTTCAGCTCGTAGTCCCGCTGGGCTTTGGCCATTTCGATTTCATTCAAGTACTGAGCGGACAGCTTCTCCTGCTTGGCCTTTGCTTCCTGCAGGTGGAGAAGGATCAAGAGTCCAGCAGAGCAGAGCACAACCTTCGCACATCAAATGAGGCTCGAGGTTGGCTGGTTTCTCCATTTGAGAAAGGGATTCTGAGACAGAGGCATTGGAGAGACCTCCACTAGCTGGGCCGGCCCAAGAGATTCTACCCCCAACCTGTCACAGACCTACACATGGTGCCCCACATTTACTCCAGGTACACTGATCTAGTTATTTTGACACATAAAGCAGAAAAAGATCCACAGGTGCTTCTCCCCTTTCCTAACACTACAAAAATACAACAGTAATACAGTCGTAATCAACAACCAAGAATTTCCAGCTCCCCTGTTTTAGACTCTCAAAACAAAATTAAGCGGGTTTTTTGTGAGAGAAATTTAGTATTGGTGATGGGGCTTTCCACAAAGCCACAGTTCCTCCAAGCCAGCCAGGAAGGGAGACAAAATGTTTGCCCAATGAGATGCAATCAATCTTACGTCACCTATTTCCACCATCTGGCTTCCTGACAGTAAAGAAAGGAAATCCTGAAGAATCGAGATGCAAGATTAACAGGGAAGGCCTCCCACTCCTTAGGGCAAAGCGGAGCAACATGTAACACAGTAAAGAAAGGAAATCCTGAAGAATCGCAATGTAAGATTAGCAGGGGAGGCCTCCCGCTCCTTAGGGCAAAGTAGAGCAACATGTAATTCTCCAGATGTTCCTGGACTTCAACTCTCACCCCTGGATATGTAGCAAGAGCTCACCTTGATGCCAGCATCTCTCTTGGCTTCGGCCTCCCCAATCCTCGCATCCTTCTGAACCTGGGCAGTCCGGGCTTTCCCAAGAGAGTGTAAGTAATCCTGCAGTAGCCAAGAAAGGGAACTTAAGAGTCAGAAGGTGCACAATCAGAACTGAAAACAGGAAGAAGAAACTATATTCATTAGCATAAAAAGCCCAATTTTGTGAATGAGTTCTGGTAAACTGCCCGTGGGCTCATGGCACAGTGGTTAAGTGCAGTACTGCAGACAAGACTCTGCTCATGATCGGAGTTCGATCCTTGACTCAGCCTTCCATCCTTCTGAGGTCAGTAAACTGAGTACCCAGGGCTCATGGCACAGTGGTTAAGCTGCAGTACTGCAGACAAGACTCTGCTCATGATTGGAATTTGATCCTGATGGGCGCAGGTATCTGTCTCAAGGTTGACTCAGCCTTCCATCCTTCTGAGGTCAGTAAACTGAGTACCCAGCTTGCTGGGGCAGGGGGCAGTGTGGAGCCCGCAGAATTAAATTGCAAACCACCCAGAGAGTGCTCTAAGTGCCACAGGGTGGTATATAAGCAGCACACTTTGCTTTGCTTTTCCTTCCCAATTCTGACCTGGCTCTTAGTTATTTCCGCAGGAGCAGCCGGAGGCAGCAGCATCCCGAGGGAGGGAACTTCCAGTTTCCATTTCTCACCATGCCTCCGAATGCTAAATGCAGTATCACACGTAGGCCTTGTGGGAAGATGAAATTCACAGACCCAGTTCTCTAGGAGAGAGAACCTGGGAGCAAGGACTAATTCTAGCAGGCTACGTTGGAGAATTAAAACTTCAGCCAGTGTCCTGTAACAGATGCCAGCTTTGTCACTGGGCAAAGTTTGATTTATGCAGAAATCCCCACGTTCTATAGGGTTGGGTTATTCTCCAGAGGTTGTTGGGCAGCAATTCTCCTCAACCTTGGCTATCATTTTTAACCATCATTTTCTTGGTGTTGTTCTGCTCAGTTGTGCTTTTGTTTTGAACTTCTTCCCCCAACTACCAGTTAGAAATGAAGAGTCAAAGATGATGCCAAGTTCAATTTGAATCCAAGATGTGTAAGAATTCAAAAAAAAAAATTCTATTTATACATGCATATTGGCATAACTAAAATAAGCACAGTGAACATATTAGAAAAGCTGGTGGTATAGCCTGTGCTTTTAAGTTGAATAATCAGAGTAATATAAGCTTTCTGTATTCCCTATTATTTTCGAAACCTTGGCCAGCACAGCCAATGGTGAGGCACAATAGGAACTGTAGTTCAATCACAGCTGGAGGGTTACAGATTCTCCATCCATATGAATTTTTAAAAAACTTTTGAGGAAAAATATAGATGCCTTAGTTAAATATTCTCATTAGCATCCTGGAAGGCGAAAGAGATTAAACATTTCTTGTTTACAGCACATTAACTCCAATACCGAATTAGGACAAGTTAACTCAGCACTGAACTACCCAAAGAGTCTTCTGTGCTCTTTTTTTTCTTAAAAAAGTGAAATCTTTACAGGGAAGGATTAGTTGGTTCAAGGCAGCAACCGAGAAACCCTCCATGCAAGCTCTGAAGCAATCAGGAAGGTCAAACGAGGCTAAGCTTGAAGCCCGCAGATTAAAAAAAACAACTCATCTTCTTGATTAATCAGAAGGGCTGGCGATGAGCCAAGACTTGTCAAGGGTCCAACGGGTACGTTGGGATCTATCCTGAATCGGATGAAATCCACAGCAATGGGATGATGGCACTGTCTTGTAGCTCTCGTGTACACAGACAGTGAATGCATCAAGGTGAAGCCACTATGTGGCAGGTAGGCAGATTTGTGGCCTTTGGCGTTCATTTCTATGCAGGGCCAGGGAGGCAAAATAAAATAAAATAAAATAAAGTAAAATAAAATAAAATAAAATAAAATAAAATAAAAATAAATAAATAAATAAATAAATAAATAAATAAATAAATAAATAAATAAATAAATAAATAAAGCTGTTAAGATCCTCAACAAACTCACTTCAGTGACCGATGCAACAGGGGCAGTCAGTCTGTTTTTCACTCCAAGCCTTAGAAGAACTATGTAAGGTGCTGGATCTTATCCTTAAATCTGCTTCAGGACCCTGGACAGCTACTTTACAGTTGGACTGAAACAGGGAGCAAAATCACTGTTCCCAAGACATCGGAGTCATTGGCCTGTCTCTTGTTGCCCCCTTTCTTGATTACTTGGAGGATTCTGGAGTTCCAGTCCAGAAAGGATGTGTGTTCCAAATTCCAGCTGGGTAAACCAATGGTCTCCTTATGTTCCAGCACCTTCCTATCTTCCTACCTGATCATCGTGGATATCCTTGAGGGTGTAGCTGACCACACTGATTCCCATGTTGACCAGATCAGAAGAAGCCACTTTGAAGACTTGCTCTGAGAACTTCTGACGGTCCTTGTAGATCTCCTGTGGAGCAAAGAAAGGGAATGTAGTCTGCCAGGGAAAGGAAAATAGTGCTGATTTCCTTGATATCAGAATATAAACCAGCCAGGAAAAAGCAACTGGAATTAGGTCTACCCTTCTTCTGCCTCCTAAGACCGAGTTGTTTAAAAATGGTCAAGTCTGTCTAAATTTCAAGAAGGAAGCTGCCCCTGCAAAATGTGTTCTCAACTCAGGCCTCTTAAATCAGCCTTTCCCAAAAGAGCTGGAGGTCTCTAGACAGGTTCCACTACAACTCCCATCAACCCTGTGGTGGTAAGAGTTGCAGTTCCTATTCCAGCACATACAGTGGTGACCTGCTTAACCCATCAACCCTGTGGTGGTAAGAGTTGCAGCTCCTATTCCAGCACATACAGTGGTGCCCTGCTTAACGCTTACCCCGCTTGACGATGAATCTGCTTCACGATGAAGTTTCTGCGATCGCAAAATGATGCTTTAATGCAGAAGTCCCCAACCTTGGGCCTCCAGATGTTCTTGGACTTCAACTCCCAGAAATCCTGGCCAGCAGAGGTGGTGGTGAAGGCTTCTGGGAGTTGTAGTCCAAGAACATCTAGAGGCCCAAGGTTGGGGACCACTGCTTTAATGGGCAAAAACCGCTTTACGAGGATCAGTTCCCTGCTTCGGGAACCAATTCCTCACATTACGATGATCAAAACAGCTGATTGTTGGGTTTTCAAAATGGCCACAGGCTGCTCAAAATGGCTACCCGCTGTGTTCAGGAAAGAATTTTTCGCTGCACAAGCATGGAAAATGGGCAACCCCGCTTGGATCTTCGCTGGACGCTGAAGTATTTAGCCCACTGGAACGCATTGAACCGGTTTTCAATGCATTTCAATGGGCTTTTTTATTTCGCTTGACGAGGATTTTGCTCTACAGCGATTTCACTGGAATGGATTATCCTCGTCAAGTGAGGCACCACTGTACTGAGATTGCCAGTCTGGCGGATGCCACCTCAAGGAAACAGGCCCTATCTCGGTGGGTGATCCTAAAATCGTGGAGTTGGAAGGGAACTCCCCATTTTAGTCCAAACTTTAAAGAAGCTATCCAAGGGGACGGATTGGTTTTGGTATGAGATTCCAAGGACAGTTATACACTGACGGAAATTCACTTTTCTCCAGCAGGGGGCAGGAAATATACATCCACATAAACATACAGAGACAGCCTCACCTCCACAGTCATATGAGCCATGATTGCTCTCTGGTGCCCTTCCAGCGTCTCCAGGGCGATGTGAGCTATCTCTGCCTCTGATTTGCCCAGAAACATTTGGCAAGCAGCTGCCAGCATCTCCTTATTCTGGCCCTGGATCCTTACCTGTGTCGTGACAGGGAAAAATAAGGAGAGAAGCTGAGAAAAGAACAAGTCTCCTGAGTTTCTCACTAATTTTAGATCCAACTGGGTGCCAACTCCAAAGAAGGATGTGGCATTTGCCTCTCAAGAAGCTTGGAGTCAGCCTTTGGATGCCGAAGCTACAAGAGCACTCGGTTGGTGAAAAGAAATCTTGGAGCCCAAGATAACAAGTTAAACAGAGTCTCTTATCAGGCAGCTTCAAATCCTCCCTTTTAATAAGCAGAGTAAAGACGCGGAGGGTTTAGGAAAAAACACAGAGTTTGACAAGAACTTATAACATGATATATTCAGACTTCATATATCAGCATAGATCAAACATATATACATGGCATTATATACATAGTGTGTGCATAAATCACTTAGGTAAAGGTAAAGGTTCCCCTTGACATTTAGTCCAGTCGTGTCCAACTCTAGGGCACGGCGCTCATCCCTGTTTCTAAGCCACAGAGCCAGCGTTTGTCCGAAGACAGTTTCCGTGGTCATGTGGTCAGTGCAACTAGAACGGAACACGGTTACCTTTCCACCGAGGTGGTACCTGTTTATCTACTTGCATTTTTACATGCCTTTGAACGGCTGGGTTGACAGGAGCTGGGACAAACAATGGGAGCTCACTCCATTGCGTGGATTCAATCTTTTGACTGCTGGTCTTTTGACCTTGCAGCACAGAAGCTTCTGCGGTTTAACTCGCAGTGCCACCACATCCCTCTCTTAGATCACTTTGAGCAACATAAACATCCAAAGATCTACTTGCATTTTTACATGCCTTTGAACGGCTGGGTTGACAGGAGCTGGGACAAACAATGGGAGCTCACTCCATTGCGTGGATTCAATCTTTTGACTGCTGGTCTTTTGACCTTGCAGCACAGAAGCTTCTGCGGTTTAACTCGCAGTGCCACCACATCCCTCTCTTAGATCACTTTGAGCAACATAAACATCCAAAGAAGTAAAGACCACCAGACTCATTACTGAGTGGCAAAGTGCTGTTCCTACTCTTCTGCTTAAATAGTAAGAGCAGCCCATCACTACAGACCATGCAGCTCAACGTGGTTAACAAGCACTATCTAAGCTTGTTCTAGCTGCATGTCATCAGTCAACCATTTTACATTGACTTTTACAGGCACGACTTTGCATTTGTCATCCATCTTACATTCCCTCTACAATATTAAATGTAACCCCTTGTTCACATGTTAGGAACACATTCTGACAATTTTAATGCTTCGGGATGAAGAAGCTTCTCTTTTGTAAATAAAAATGGAGGTTACCTTACTACTCCCCAGGCAAAACCCTGCAGAAGATGGTTTCCCTATCAAGAGCCATTATCACATCTCTGGTTCTAAAGTTAGAACAAATGAAATTAAATGGCAATCAATGCTGTGCACTGCTATATACACTGCTGTACAACCCACGCTGGGCATACAACAGACGTGGGGTTGAATACAACCCCCCAAGTGGTGTGTGTGTGGTGGGGACAAAATCTGTGGTTGGTTCCATTCAGGGGAGCAGGAACTGAAACTGCACTGTATGGGAAGCAACACTAGCTGTTTTTACAAGACTTTTTTCCCCAACTGCAGGTTCACCCTATTTGAATTGCTAGGAAGAAGTTACCTGGGCAATGCCAGTGACTGAGATGGGGACTCCATGCCGGGTGTAAACCTTCTCACTCTTTACATTCAGGGTCAGGGTGTTGAGTGAGATCCTGAGGAGAGTGGGAAGAGGGGTAGGAAAGAGTTAATGAGAGAGAAATACATTGCATTCTCCTTTTTTTTTTTGCTTCCAAGTTCAGTACAGCTTATCATCATCATGTGCCATCAAGGCAATTCTGACTTATGAGGAGCCTTTTTCAGGGTTCTCTGGGTAGAGGGTATTCAGAAGCGGTTTCCCATTCCCTTCTTCTGGGGGCATTACTGGCACAGGGCACCTTGCCCAAGGCCACACACAGGCTGGCTCTTCTGGGATGCAAAGTGGGGAATCGAAAGGAAGAGAGAGAGAGAGAGAGAGAAAGAAAGAAAGAAAGTGAGAAACAAATAGAGAAACAAAGAGATAAAGAAACAAGAAAGAAAGAAAGAAAGAAAGAAAGAAAGAAAGAAAGAAAGAAAGAAAGAAAGAAAGAAAGAAAGAAAGAAAGAAAGAAAGAAAGAAAGAAAGAAAGAAGAAAGAAAGAAAGAAAAAAAGAAGAGAAGGGAAGAGAAGAAGGACTCCTCAGCAAATGAGATTTTTGGGCAACCACTCAGAAGATCAAAGGGTAAAACAAGCCCAGTCAATTTCCTAGCATGTGCTGGCCAGATCCAGCACAAGATGGAAAGCAGAAGCTTCTGGTTTAAGCATCTGCTTCTCAAAGCATGTGTCTCAACTGCTCAGTCCCAATTTCTGTCTGAAAACACCCAGGCACATGAGAAGGTTGTTTATTTTTATTTGTTTGTTTTTTTGCACTACAGCTTCCAGAATCCCCTACCTGATTGGGGGAATACTAGGAAGAGTTAATCAAAAACAGCAATTTTTGACTGAGGCAGCTGAGTTCGGTAGCAGCTATCCGCCGCTCCTGTCCACAGCCTCACTGCTGCCCTCTCAACCATCGTCTAAATTTTACAGGGCCAGCCATGTGTCTTGATATCTGCAAAGCAGGCATGTGCACCTCTGGTCCGCCAGATGCTGTTGGCTTGTAACTCCTATCAGCCCTCGCCAGAACACTACTACACCATGGATCTTCCTCACTGTGGTGCTATTGGTCCTTGACTGCAGGAGAGTCGAGGAACTAAGAGACAACAAAGTCACAACAGATTAAACTCAGGTTTTCTTTTTTAAACATGGGCTAGTGGGACCCCTCTCCCACCTTTTCCTCTGAATCAACCACATTCTCCCCAGATGCATTTGGCAGGAGGTCTCAGTTTATTCTTAGCTTTAGGTTCAACAGGATGGTGTGTTCCCCCCCCCCCCGGCCCCATCTAGATAGTTTCTGAGAACATTACTGGGTTGTTTGCCCATTTGTTGGGCACAACCAGTAGGTCTTGGGTGCAGGAAGTAAAGTACTGTAGATTACATGGATGAGCCAGAAAACGTAGTCTCTGTGTGCATGTCCACAGAGAAAAAGAAGAGATGTGGAGCAGAAGAGAAGGGGGGGGGAACAGGGAGGAACAATGTTCAGAGCAAGGATGAAGGTACATTAATTTTATTTATTTATTTGAGGGCTGGATTCCATCATTATAATCTCTCAGGGACCATATTCCAAGGGCCAAGGAAGGGAGAGGGGAAGCCAGCAGTGAGTGAGGCGAACTTTCTTTTTTACCACCTTCTCCTCTTTCTCTCACAGGCTGACAATCTCTTCTTCCTCCAAGCAGGCTTGTCGAGGAAGGGGACAGACCTCATACTGGGGATCTGACTTAATAAAACTTGCAGGGAGCTTTTGAAACTGGGCTAAGGGTTGTATGAAAACAATCCGGGTTCTATAGCTCAGCACCTCCAGTTCATGGGGAAACCGAGAATGTGAGAGACACGCACACACCGCTCTCTATGCATGGCCTGTAGACATTTTAAAAGTCACTGTTCTAAGGAGAAAAAAACGTTCAATGAATGACTTGCAATTTTTAAACTAAACATATCTCAAGAACATACATCCGTTTCCGTGAGAAATCTGGGTCAACATCTCAATTATTTCAAATTTTCTCTTTCTTGGTCCTCTTCCGGTTCTGCAATATCTTTCGGAAATGCGGTGACCGGAACGGCACATGATGTAATGATATTGCATGTTTTACTCGTACTACTACTTTTTTTTACTACTTTTCTAACAGAGAAGGAAACCCTCATTTGTCACCGCTATAACTAAGCTAATATTCTTACTGAACATTTGCTATGACACCAATGTTCTTTTCCTGGAAAAGTTCTGGCCGGTATAAACCTGCCCACCCCACAACCCTCCACTCAGAACCTTTCCTGTGGGTGCTAAATTTAAATTCTGCAGAACAAGAGATCTAAGTCTGGGAAGCAGAAAAGGGGTTGAATGCTGCTCCTGCAGTAACAGGAGACACAAAACAGATCTGTTGCACACATTTATCTACCCAGCCTTCCCTCTTCCTCTTGTCTGTAGTAGATGGACATCTTATCAATTCTCGATTCCTCCAAATCTGTGCACCTTGGATCCACGTCAAGAACACACCCTCATCCTTTTGCTTCTGCCCGAATTACTTGGGTGACCGCTCTCATGAGCAGAAGAAGCTCATTATGACACTGTGGATACATAAATATACACAGAGAAAGAGAGCTGCAAGGCATATCATAATACAGTGAGGTAGGGCGGGGGCTAAAGAGCTGTACACTCTCATCTCGTTCATCAGCTTGGAGACCAAGAGGCACTGTGCTCCAGGTTGTTGAGAAATCGCAAAGGAAAGTCCAGTCTACCCTCATGCACTGGCCAGAGGAGTTAGTGCTCTAACATGTGGTTTCCTCTTCCCTCCTCGTTCGTTCTTCCTTTTGTATCACATCTCTTAGGCTGTGAGTTTTACAGGCAAGGACTCTTTCATCTTTCAAGGACAAAACAGTGCGTAGAAAACAATAAGGCCAGAATCCTGTTCACTTACATTTCCGATCATCGAAGGGCAATCGTGCTAGTGTCCTGCTACTCTCTGGTAGGCTCCCTTTCATGAACTGGCTGCAAAGCTGGCTCCATGGCCAATCCTCTAAATGGTTGAAGAACAGCATGCCAGAGGGGAATACTGTTGCATGATTCATAGATTCACAGAATAATGGAGTTGGAAGAGGCCTCTTAGGCAATCAGGTCCAAGGCCCTGCTCAGTGCAGGAATCTAAATCAAAGCAGATCCGACAGATGGTTGTCCAATTTTCTTCTGAATGGCTTCAGCGTTGGAGCACTCACCACCTCCCAAGGCAACTGGTTCCATTGTCGTACTGATCTAACAGTTAAGAAGTTTTTTTCCTCACATATAGACTAAATCTGGCTTCCCGTAGCTTGAGGCCATTGTGTGTCCTGCACTCTGGGATGATCGAGAACAGATCCTGTCCTTCCTCTGTATCACTTTCATGTATTTAAAAAGTGCTGTCATATTTTCCCTCAGTCGTCTTTTCTCAAGGCTCTTTCAGTCTTTCCTCACAAGGCTTGGTTTCCAGCCCCCTGATCATCCTTGTTGCCTTCTTTGGAACTTGCTCGAGTTTGTTGGCATCCTTCTTAAAGTGTGATATTCAGAACTGGACACAGTACTCAAGATGAGGCCAAACTAATGCCGAACAGAGGGGAACTAGTACCCCTTGGGATCTGGAATCTATGCTTCTCTTCCCTTTGAACACATGCTTTACATTAACAGGATTTTGGCCTACGTATTCTATATGCATAATAAAAACCACTATTACTGCTAATATTGTTATTATCTTTGTCATGAAATGGTTAATAACCACGAAGAAGAAGAAAACAAAGAAGAGGAAGCATGATAACTGTGAAGGCCATCGTGGTGTAGTAGATAGACTGACTTAAGGGGCCTGGGTTCAAGTCACTACTTGGCCATGGAAAGCTGGTAACAGTCAACCACTCCTTAAAATCTCACATTACTCAGAAACCCTGTCACAGTTCCCCCTAAGCCAGAAGTAAACTGCAAGCACATAAGGCTCAACAAGAATAATACATAATGCTCATGCAGTGCACATTTCTGACTATGTTAAGTTTAGCTTATAAAACGCTGAGCTTTAGCCCAAGATCTTTTCTTCAGCTGGTTGAAATGTACTGTATTTGCCGGCGTATAAGACGACTGGGCGTATAAGATGACCCCCCCCAACATTTCCACTCAAAATATAGATAGAGTGGACGGCTCTGCTGTGGCACCGGAGGCGGCTGTCCGGTTCTGACCTGGAAGTTCATGGCTGGCAACGAGGCCCAAGGAGGGCGAGGAGGCTATCCGGCGGCGTGCGTGCGAGCGGGCAGCTGGCTCAGTGGCGAGGAGGAGGAGGGGAAGCGGCCGGACAGGCAGTGGCAGCGGAGGAGGGGAAGCGGCTATCCAGCGGCTGGCGGGCAGCTGGCTCAGCGGCGAGGAGGGCAAGGAGGAGGGGAAGCGGCCGGGCAGGCGGGGGCAGCGGAGGGGGGAGGGGAACA